GACCCTCCGACAGTGCGGCACTCCCTCAGTACTGACCCTCCGACAGTGCGGCACTCCCTCAGTACTGACCCTCTGACAGTGTGGCACTCCCTCAGTACTGACCCTCCGACAGTGCAGCACTCCCTCAGCACTGACCCTCTGACAGTGCAGCACTCCCTCAGCACTGACCCTCTGACAGTGTGGCACTCCCTCAGCACTGACCCTCTGACAGTGCAGCACTCCCTCAGTGACTCTCCATAGCCCATGCCGAATTCAGTGAGTTAACCTTTTTCTGTGTATGTTGGGGTAAAATGGAGAGAACGATAGCTGGTGAATGTGCAGAAACTCACTTGGAAGAAATGCTTGTGCACTGATTAGTTGAGGAAGAAAGTGAAGAGTGAAGTGTTTGTGAGGAACAATGATGGGGAAAGGAGTTGAATCTTTTGTTTTGCTGTTTGTGTCAAACCTTTCCAAATTATGGTGTAGCCCTGTGTCGCCAGTTTTCTGTAATAAAACCACATTCTTTTGGTCAAATGTTTTGGCAGTGTCTTGTGAACCTGCTCAATACCTGATCACCATGGTAACCACACTGTAAACGCAGTGGTCTCTTGAACGCAGTTTTTCTTTGGATGCTGACTTGGCCACTGTCACCTGTGATGCCCTTGGGTAGTAACAGGTGCTACAGAAATGCAATTCCTCTTCTCTCTACTACCCGAAGGAAATGTGAATAGGCTCCTCTTGGAGAATTTTTAACAGCAGCACATTTGAGGAGAAGCTCTAACCCTGGCAGCCAATATCCTGTTGGGTGCCTCGCAATCCTTCCTGGACTTTTCTCAGTGCGAGCTCCTGAGAACGTGATAGAGTCACCAAGTCGGACTGTTTCTGATTACCTTGTGAAATCTGAAAGGCGTGATTTGGACCAATCCTCAGAGATTTGGATCCAGACAGACTGCAATCAATATGGAACATACTCCATTGTTTAGCTGTTGTCAGCTTTCGAATTCATCATGAGAAGTCATCCCGTTCTAGCCTGGTTATTACATACTTGGCCCACAGGGGTACTGTTTCCCCTTTTGCCCTTTCTGTTCAACCATCATCACTGCACACACTATTGGATTTTCTGTTGTGTGAGCATGACTGTGCTTGGCATTAAGGGGGAGGTACAGTTTTCATTTTAGATCACAGCTTTGATGTTGAGTAGAGCTTGCCACTTACTTTAAGAATAAGATTAATGCTGATAATAATGGATTATTAAATGAGTCTGGTGGGCTTCTCTGTTCTGGTTAGGACTGTAAAATAGAATCAATTCGCCCTTTTGGGCACTGACTCAACTCATACTCATCGAGCGACTGGGGGAGAAATGGGCCGTGATTGTCAGCTCATTATTCCTGTCATAGTCCCAACTATCCACTTAATTGAGAGCCCCCGAAACATGCGCATGGAATTGAGATGTACATCAGCCATGAACTAACTGGATGCTGGACCAGGCCTGAGGGCTGAATGGCCTACTCATGATCCTATCTCTCGAACATTAAAACAGATGGGCCAAATGACCTGCTTCCCCACGGTAGGGGTTCTATTCTATTCTAAGCGGTCTTGCATTTTTATCGCACCTTTCACAATCTCGCACCATTACAAAAGGGGTTCCCGAAGACAGAACACAGAGTCAGCCCCCTCCCTCTCCCTCACTGTCATTACTGACCTGCTCCACATCATTCCTCTCAGGGTAAGGGGGAAACTGTTCGATTCACAGGCTGCTGGAACAATGCAGTTTCTCAGGCTCCCATTGCTTCTCAAAGCACCTCTCTCTTTTATTCATCACTGTATATTTACAGAGCACGGAGACCTCAGCTCCCTGCAACTGGCTCTCAACTCCAAACTAACACAAACCTTCCCTTTGCACTGACAGAAAGTCACCTCCCCCCACCCCCCACGGAGGTTAATTGATGCTGAGGCTCAGTCAGAGCCTTGTGCAGTGACAGGGCCTTCACTGAGCTCCATTCTCACTATCATCCCCCACCCCCACTCCAACTCCGTCTCTTGGCTGGTTGCTTTCCCTTCTCAGGTGGGCACAGTTTGAGATGGTCCAGCTGCCCCTGGCCAAGTGGGGATTCCAATGAGATGTCCAGCAGGCCAGGGGTCAGGAGCTGTGATTCACACATATCGACCCCTGCAGGCCATTCTGGGCCGAGGTCATACTGTCCCCAGGCCATTCTGGACCGAGGTCATACTGTCCCCAGGCCATTCTGGGCCGAGGTCATACTGTCCCTAGGCCATTCTGGGCCGAGGTCATACTGTCCCTAGGCCATTCTGGGCCGAGGTCATACTGTCCCCAGGCCATCCTGGGCCGAGGTCATACTGTCCCCAGGCCATTCTGGGCCGAGGTCATACTGTCCCCAGGCCATTCTGGGCCGAGGTCATACTGACCCAGGCCATTCTGGCCAAGGGCATACTGTCCCCAGGCCATTCTGGGCCAAGGTCAGGCTATCACCCACTGACCATTACCTATGTGAGGGTAATGTATAGCCAGGCTGCCTCACCAGACAGAATAGCCTCCTGTTTTTGTAATTGGAGCAGCCTCTCCATCCCTTCCCCAATCTCCGGGATAATAAAGCAGAACAAACAGAGCACCTACTTTTGCACACACCTCTGACTCTGCGTCACAGCAACGTGCTTACTTGGGACCTGAAGACTGCAGGCCTGGTAACTTAACCAGAGAATTCCTGACCCAAACGAAACAAAAAACTTTGTGTTTCTGTAGGGGGGGGGGGGGGGGGGAAGAGTGGCGGTACACAAGCTATGCTGCAGACTGGACTGAAATCCTGCTGCCGACAGTGTGTTCCTCCAGCTCTGTAATTTATAGACAGTGAATAGTACACCCTTTATGCAGTTAATGCATGAGCTGTGTTTACACAGCACACAGTACCATTTCCTACATAAACCACTCTCGGACCTCAGCACACTCGCTCTATTGAAACCTCACAGAAAGCATAATATTTAGAATGGTTGGGAGTTTTTCTGTCAGGAATGAGCGGTTTAAGTTTCAGATGTGGCTGGGTACAATGCTCTGGTCACTACATCCTTCCTGCAACGAGAGTGCGGCACTGCCTGAGCAGTGCCCATTCTCTGAGTCAGAAGCAGGAGGGAACAACATTCCGACATCTCCTCCCCAGATGGCACACTTGGCGTTGAGTCACAGGCCCCAGGCTGGAGCACGTTATGTGAGCAGCAGCAGGTTTGCACGGCTAGCTGAGGAAATGCCCCCTCACTCCAACCCAGCACCGCTATCCAATCAGACCCTCCATCGGGGCAATTAAAGCAGACGTTCTGTCCATCCCTGCTCATGGGATCATGCTGTGCGGTTCCCCAGTTGCAGCATTGCTACATTCCAGCCAGTGAGTGGTGTGTGAAACACCTTGGGACGGCCAGTGGCTACGAAAGCTGCGGCAGAGATGGGCAGACTCACCGACAGCTCGGATCTGACAGGCCCCAAGGAGCATCCTGTACTGAACAGGACAGAACTCCAGGCAGTGCGGCCTGGAGCTGCTCTGCAGGCTAACAGCTTTACCCTTCAGCTCAGGGAAAAGCAATAACAAATCCCAACCAGCCAAGGCTACCCCCTCCCCGCTCAGCCTCACTGTTCCTGCTCAACACTGGCTACCACACGACTGTAACATTGTTCAGTTCCACTGTCCCCCATGGTCGAATAGCCCTGTGACAGCTCCCTGTCCAGACTGGCCATGGAGGACTGTTACTGTATCAGGCACAACTCCCTCAGGCTACACACAGAGACTGTGCCAAGGACGACATTCTGCTAAGTCTCACTGACACTGTGTAGGAACATTCCTGTTGATCCCTCTGAGGCTGCCAGGAGATTCCCGAGGCCAGCACTGCTTTCCCTTGTTATGATCTCGGCTCGCAACAGCCTCCCGGCTCCCTGCGCACAGGGCTGTTTGTGCACTCGAACTGTACCAGCCCATCAGTGTGGGATCAGTCTGCAGCTTCACAGGGACTGCTCCTCCAGCCTTTCACACTCTCCCTCGCAGCATCCCGAAAATCTACTTCCTGCCACACCTCAGCAACCCTGCTCCTTCCTGGAAACACATAGGATTCCCTCTGCTCCCCACACTTGACCCAAACCCACTGCTGACAGCCTCCCAGACCTTGGGCAGACACGGTTCATGGTTCAATCTCCTTCATGGCATTGACAAGTTTGCATCAAGCTCAGGGCCAAATGGCCTAACCAGGCTCCTGTTTTCCAAGTTCAGGAGAATCCTGATTCTGGGACCTCCCTTCTTCAGCAGAAACACAAGGGACCTGTATTCCTACCATATCCAAACCCTCGGGACAGCTCGTCGACAGTGCACCAGACTCCGCTGCCATTTGTATCAACTGCACGCCCCGCACGGCAAGATCCAACACACACTGCAACATGACAATGACAAAATGATATCTGTCTCGTGTTGGAGGGTAAAGATGGAACAGAATACCAGCGATCTCTCCCCTGTTTTTCTCCGGATCTGACTGTGGGATCTTTCTCCAGCAAACAGTGAGGGCAGACAGAGATAGCTTCACAGCTCACCCACAAGCCTGCTCCTCTGACAGTGTGGCATTTACTCTGCCATTTCATCTCCGTTGCTTTTGCTACAAGGCAGGACAATGTGGAGAACAGAGGGTCAGTGCGATGCCTGTTGGCCAAGGCAGGTGTGGAACTTCTATTGGAGGTGTGCAACCCTCAGACTCTGTGACTGGAGTGGTGTACAAGCCAGACATGAATTCTCGGTGCCCTCTCCCAGGGTGCAGGTGAAACCAATGTGTCTGAAATTCGGGACACACTCCGGGACTGAATCTGGGGTTTACTGTGAGCAGGTCAGGCAGATCCCTGGCTGCACAAGCCATTGCAGACGCTCCAACGCATGAAGCAGGCTGACATTCCCAGGGTAGTCACAATGGGAGATACTATCATTCCCATGGCAACACAAACATCCCTGACCTTGCTCTTCTCATGCTGCCGCTTTGCTGAGAAAGGACTGCAACAAATCTTTTTGCTGCCACTAATCTTCATCAAACTGGACACCGAGCAAATACCCAGACAACTGGACGGAAAAACTGGAGGCGCTAAATGTAAACTTCAGTACGCTGACGACACGGCACTAATGAATCTCAAGAGGCTTGACAAAATATCACAGACCAGCTAAAATGAAGCTGCTTAGGATAGAGTCAATGCATGAAGACCAGAAAGATAAACACAATGGGACAGAAAGGGAAGACACTTAGAGAGGCTGGAGTGAAGACTGAAGTGTCACACTGGAACGAGTCAATCCATTTGTCTGTTTACACCAAATGATCACGCAAAAGGCAGCTAAAGTTAGCCGGTCAGAGTATGCAAGAGGTCATCTCATAAAGGTTACAAGAGGGAAACTCAAGGTTGTAACAAGGAAAACCTCAGAAGGTGCTTCATCCTATCCACTCAGAAACAAAGGCCATTCATATAGATATTTCCAAGAAATGCAGATGTCAGACACATGTTTAAAATTCCACAGACACAGCACAAGATAAATGAAGAGGTGCTCGAAATTGCAAAAAGAAAAATGACTTGTGAAAGTGATGTCCAGAAAGGACAATATGAAATGGAATACAGTTGTGCGTGCTCTGGGTGCCACACTGTCGGAGGAATGTGACTGCACTGGACAGGGTGCAGTACAGATTCACCAGGATGTTGCCTGGAATGGAAAGTCCCCATTATCAGGAGAGACTGGATAAGTTGGGTTTGTTTTCCCTGGAGCAAAGGAGGCTGAAGTGTGATCTAGTTGAGGTATACAAAATTATGAGAGAGCAGATTGTGAGAATCTTTTCCATATGGCAGACATATCTAAGACCAGAGAGCATCAGTTTAAGGTGAGGAGTAAGTGTTTTAGAAGGGATCTGAGGAAAAGCTTTTTTTCACCC